ATTTGTTTAATAAATAACTTTGCCTGCTAGTTATGCTGTAATAAAAACTCTTATTCATACCATCTGAAAATAAAATAAAAAACTCCTTAAAGGCTTGGTATGCAACTTTTAGGGGCTTGTAATATCTGAGACATAATCCATATGCGAGATCATTTTAACGCCCAAATGGCTCAATTGCTGCAGCAAAACCAGTATCTCCCAGCACCTCTTATAATTATATTGAATTGCTATTGTTTTAAAGACTGCATGGACGCAGTTTGTGCTAATGATATGCATCAATGCTCTCACTATTGTTACGTTTGCAGCTTTTCTACCTGTCATGACAATCATTTCCTCAGTATTGACTTCATAGTGGCTTTGATACGTTGCAACAACATCACATGAGAAAGCTTTGCATTTTTTAAAGAGTTTTTAAGTAAAGTATTCAACCAACCATAGACTCAGATGTGATAAGTGTGTGACCCGGGGTTAATCACAGCGAAGGAGATTCATGAGGTGAACTTACAGGAACCTTTAAGGATCCATGAGCGGCTTATAGGAAGCTCATTTCTTTTTCCAATACGTCATAAAAGCCCAGCTCAGGTATAAACAGGCTGAAGCACTGGGGTGAAATGATGCGTGTGCAGGGGTGGCGTGCTAAGATAAAGTAGCAGAAGGGAGGGAAGGTGGAGAGGTAAAAGCAACAATGCATTGTGCTGTTAAGGGAATTATTCAATCAATGTAATTCTATTTATATATCCCAATGTGACAAATGATACATTCGTCTCAGGGGGCTTTTCAGTGTGTAGCATGGAGCGACCTCTTTCCTTAGAGCCTTGCAGTGTACAAGGAAAACTCCCCGAATAAAACAATAATTAACGTAAAAAACTGGAAGAAACCTCAAGGTTACAGTGTCAGATATGAAGAGTTATTTATTTAATTGAAATCAGCAGCAAAAACAAAAGTCTTCCGCTGGATTTAACACAAAATTACTCACTTTTGATTAACGAATAAATTATATAAAAAAAGGTTTACTTTTGATACTGTTGTTGATAATAGTCTGTACTTCTTTTTACAAAGTAAGTAGCTGTTTTTAAATGCCATTTAATAATTTATTTATGCTGTATTTGTTCTTAAATGTCTTTTGTTTTTAGTAAAGCACTTTGAATCGCCACGTGCTGAAAAATGCTATATAAATAAAATTGTCTTGCCTTAATATTTAGGACTTCTTCCTGAAGTTGAGTATTTTAAGACTCTGGTATTCTTTCTTTTAGGTAAGGATCTGAAAGTGTACTTCTTCCACCTTTGATTTAGAGGACATTAGAGCATAGAGATAGTTAAAGCGAAGATGTAACTTTTTTGTTCCCTTTTAGTTTTCTATTTTGAAATGTTCATATTTTACGTTTGTTAATTTCCTACTCTTTTTAATTCCACATTATGTGCAAGGCCTTGTTTACGTACATGCTGCTGTGACGGACACAAAAATACCAAATAGGGATGAATAAAGTATATCTTAAGTTAATTTATGAAAGGTGTTTTCTAAGCGTCTATGAGTCCTTGTGACAGAAGTTTAGCCTAATGATCGAAGCCTGTTACTCAAACTGATTTACTGGCTGGTAAACAAACTTTGGGAGTGCCGCTGCCTCTCCTGCATCGAAAGTCAAAGAGTCAGAGCTGAGATTAAGCCGCTTCTTGAAGAGGAACTGGCAGAGTGTCAAGCCTGCTGAGCGAGGTTTTGGTAACTCATACATCTTGTTGTAGAGCAGATTGCGCTCAGTGGGGGGTGCACCTGGCATATTTAACCCCGCTGCCCAGGGTTCCTGTGAAATAAGAAGGGCATCGGTCCAAAAAATCTGCTTTTTGGTCATTATCATCCCTCCCTGCTGGCACAGAGAGCTTCTTTCTAGCACATCAGAATGGATTTGTGTGGAGGTGTTTCACATCAGTGGTCCGATGTCAAATTATGAAATGAAAAGAGACCCTTGAGAACAGAAGGCTCTCGTTGAGACGTAGAATCTGATGCCCCTTTCACACCAACGTGGTTCCAGGGCCGGTTCGGAGCTGGAGCTTGAAAAGCACAGTTTTTTCCTGTTCACACCGCAGCGGAGCCGCCTCTAAGCTCCGAAATCCGGTTTGTTTCAAGCACCAACAAGTTGTCGGTCTAGAAAGCAAGCACCGCATACGTCACGCTTACGTCTGAAGATCTGGGCTGTGTCCAAATAACACGCGACATCCGCCTTTCCGCCAGCTTCAACATGATCTGTGGAAATAACATTGAGAATCAGATGTAATGTTATACCATAGTAATTAATGCTGCAAAGCTGGGTATTTTGAGCTTGGCGCATGCAGAGGCTAACAACAGCTAGCTCTAACGCCATCGAATAGGACGTATATTTACCTTCTTTCTCCTACGGAGTCGTCGTTGATGATGATGATTGTAAAGAACTTTTGAATGTAGCATGTAACGACTGTAAAGTTGGTAGTCAAGTCGTCCATTTAGTTTCGACAGAGCAAAACCAAAACGAGTAGTGCTTCAATACAATCGGCCATTGTTGTTGTTGTCGATGTGAGGGGGTTCCGCACGGTTTGCCTTTATGAAGCAGGCACGCAAACGGTTACGTCATGACGCAAACGATGACGCAGCACCAGTCGGGCTCTGAGCGGTGTGAACAGAGCGGGAGCTGAACCGAAGAACCGGTTCCGAACCAGAAAAGCTCTAGCACGGAGCTAGAACGGGAAAAGCCTTGGTGTGAAAGGGGCATGAGTGTCATTCAGTGACTAGTAATGAGTGGAGATGGCTTTAAGTTTTATTATTTATTTAATGTTTTAAATGAGGGCTTCTCAGTCGGTTTGGTGGCCACTCCAAGACACATTTTTGCACAAGTGGCACGCACAGTGTTCATGGGTATTTCTGAAAAGAAAATACTTTATGTGCTTCATTCTCGACTATTCAGGAACTGTTAGGGATTAATTCTGTCTTTACTCCTAGACATTTAACCTATTCTGTGTGTTGACATTTACGACCATCCCTGCTTGGGAATGTATTAATGCAGTCATATGTTGATACTAGGTTTTATGGCCTGACCTGCCGGGCACAGGGGGACTGTGAGAACGCTGGCTTTCTAATCTCCACAGATGTGAGAGACATCTCCTGTGTCTGCAGATGTTTACGCCCATCCCCAATATGTGGATTTGACTCTCTGTAAACTAGTTAAAAGGTCTACCAAGATGCGAGGCTGATCAGATTTGACATGGCAACCCACACGTGCAGTCAGAACCTTTGACTGTGTGACTTGTGATGTGAATTTCTCCGGCCGATGCTTGTATTAAAGATCAGTGTTTGACATCAGAACTCCTGCTCGTCCCGTGTCTCCTTCATGAGTCGGTGACTCCCACTGCATTGCTACACAGAAGTTTCCTCCACAGGAACTAGTTTGTCTCTAAAAAGCTGTTTTCACATTCCTCTACTCAAGGGGGAAACCAATTGGGACTTCCATAGCATTTTAGATTCAAACTCCAACTACATTTGTTACTAAACGATGGAAAACACCAAATCCCTGTGTAGTACACAAACATATTGACAAGAAAACAACACAAATCAGGGGAGTGAGAGCTGCTGAAAGTTTGGACAACAAACATTAGAGTTTGCGGTAGATGAATGTAAATCGGACCTCTGAGCTTTTTTCACCATCTACAAAAACTAGATTTTGAAATAAAAAAAGGTCCAATGCACTCTTCTGGCACAAAGTCACAGAGCATTTAAGGGCTTGGTTTAACAACCCCCGCAAAGCAGCAAAAACGCAGCCCTATTTTTATTGTTTGCAAGCTTTTTTATGTTTAAGTATATCACTCTGAAATAGTCATCGGATAAAAAAAGCTTTCAGCGCCTCCGATCTTTTTTTTTCTTACTTTCTATTTCCCTTTAAGAACACTTTCATAAAAAGTTGTTTGAACTTCTGAGAGCTTTTTCTTTTTTGAAGCAATAAGAACTTAATGTATGTTTTACAACCACTATTGCTTTTTTAGGCCCTGCCAGCAAAAAGCACAAGCTAGTGAACAACAGAAACAAATCACTGATCGCTACTTGTAGAACACAGACGTGAATATCTCCAAATTGAAATTTAGAGATGAAAATTATATCTCCAGAAGTTAATTTACAGTGTTGAACCAAGCACAAGTAGAATTTATCAATAAGAAAGTCTAAAATGTGGAGGGGGAACTTTTTTTGTACTTTTTACATGTGAAATAAGTATATATCATAACAGAGAGGACTTTAATGAGGACATCATATGCATATTTTCAGGTGTATATCAGTATGTAGTGTCTCTACTTTAAAGAGTCCTCTCCTGCTGATGTTCAGGTGTATATCAGTATGTAGTGTCTCTACATGTCTCCATGCTTTAATGTTCAAAAAGCTCTTTATTTCTCTCATACTGCCTGTGCTGCAGCACCTCTTTTCACCCTCTGTCTGAAACCAGAGGCCAGTCTGCTCTGATTGGTTAGCTGGCTGGCTCTGTTGTGATTGGTCAACCGCTTAGAGATGTCCCGCCCCTTAGCCTATCACATACAATGTGTTGGAGTGCTCGCCAATAGAAGCGTGAGTGGTATAGTGATTGCAATATGTTCAGGAAGTAAACTAAGGAGTCCAACAAGGCATTTCAGGCAGGGGGGGGGGGGGGGGGGGAATTTTGTGAGACACAGGGATTTTAGCCTTTGCAGACTATTTAGGGAGGCGTGTGGCGCAGTGGATATAGCCTCAGGGGGTCACAGGTTCAAACCCCACTGCAGTCAGCATGTCGTTGTGTCCCTGAGACTCTTCACCCCAAGTTGCTCCTGTGGGGATTGTCCACAGTATTGAGTATGTAAGTCGCTTTGGGATAAAAGCGACTTACAAGTAACATGTAGTGTAATGTAATTTACATGCACAACAACCTATATATCACACTACAGGAAAGGTAAACCACATCAAGCACAATAGGACCACTTTATTTATCTTATTAATTTCCCCTCTCTCCCCGTAGAAGCACCAGAGACAGCGATGCAGACGAGGATGAGGATGAGCCGCGGGTGAGTCGCGGCTGCACTCTTCAGTACCAGCGTGCCGGGGTCAAAGTGCTGACCCAGTTCCACACCACCTCCACGGAGGGCACGGACCAGGTGATCACCATGCTGGGCCCTGATTGGCAGGTGGACGTCACGGACCTGGTGCAGGACTCCCTGAAGGTGGCCGACCCCCGGATAGCAGAGCTGGTGGACCGGACGGTTCTGGTGGGTCTGGAGTTGGGGTCCACCACGCTGAAGGTAAACCGGACGCCTTTTTATTTGATACGATACGATATACTTTATTGTCCCCGTAAGGACATTTGTTCTGGACTCAGTCCTGCAGTTCCGCATACATGTACAAACGGTTAGAAAAATATCCCTCTTCACCGGCTTGTGCTTCAATCTCAGGATCCATGTATCTGTGATCCTCTCCAGAATGGAAGTAGTCATCACATACAGAGCATCAACTAGTTCCTGAACAGTGTCCTTCACATGCTGATATCCAAGAGAGGGAGTTACACAGTCTCAAGATGGAGGAATAGAAAGCAGTACATCCTGTCATGTACAAAATTCTCAACATTCTGACTTTTTCCTCAAAATCTCAAAATCCCCCAAAATCTGACTATTTCTGAAAAAATCCCCCAAAAATCTGACTTTTTCTAAAAGATCTAAAAAAATCTGACTTTTTCTCAAAATTCTTACTTTTTCTGAATACTTCAAAATGTTAATAATCCCTGGTCCCCGGCTTGAGCTTCAATCTCAGGATCCATGTATCTGTGATCCTCTGCAGAATGGAAGTAGTCATCACATACAGAGCATCAAGTAGTTCCTGAACAGTGTCCTTCACATGCTGATATCCAAGAGAGGCAGTTACACAGTCACAAGATGGAGGAGTAGAAAGCAGTATTCAATGTTTACTTCAGATTAGCTCCATGTCAGAAATGAGCATGCTTGTCATATGTCTCTCTCCATAGAGGCTGAATCATCATGTTAATCACATAGCTATCATATGCCTCAAACAGTCCTGATGCTCTTCTAGGTAATCACACATCCTGTCATGTTCACAGCTACAGTTGGGACACCTTTGTTATCATGTTACTCTCAGATTGGAAGAATACATTCAGGATTTCCCAACACAAACATAATAAACATTAAAATACATACACATGTCATCACTCATACTGTACACCGTTTGCACAAACACAGACGCACATACTGACAATGGCGGCCTATTGTACAACCCTTATGGCCAACATTTAAAAGTATATTACGTTACATGTGAGTGTTAAGAAGCCTAATGGACAGAGGCAGGAATGAGTGCGTAGCGGTTCGGTGCTGTGATTCAGCATTAATCAGCAGTGAAAAATGAAGTGTCTGGAGGTGACAAACGACGCGTCTGAGTGAGAGGCGTGAAAGTAGTCGTGGTGTTCTTGAACGTGTGCACCACACACAAACTGAAGGTTGAGTTTAATAGATGAGGAAGGAAGATTTCAAAGTTGGAGATCATTACTCTTTCTGAGTTTCTGAAGGAGCTGCTTTCTTTTGGAGATTGTTGATGCCTTTAAAAGCAGGTTTCATACTATATTGTCATAGTTTTGCTGAACTTTTCAATTGATATCAATGGGCAGTTCAGTCTGTCGCCATTCAAACCTCTGATCCTCCAACTTTTACCGCCTAAGTTATCTTAAATGATATTTTCCCTTCAAGCTAAGACAGCATTTATATCCCTTTCATCTGACTTTTGAACCTTACTTGTTATAAAATAGAAACCTCTTGGTCGAAAGTGTTTCTGAAGGAGCTGCTTTCTATTGGAGATTGTTGATGCCTTTAAAAGCAAGTTTCGTACTATATTGTCATAGATTTGCTGAACTTTTCAATTGATATCAATGGGTTGTTCAGTCTGTCGCCATTCAAACCTCTGATCCTCCAACTGGTAGACATCCATTTCCCCCGTAACGCCGTCCTAAGTTATCTTCAACAATATATTCCCTTCAAGGCATTTCTATCCCTTTCATCTGACTTTTGAACCTTATAAAATAGAAACCTCTTGGTCGTAAGTGTTTCTAAAGAAGCTGCTTTCTTTTAGAGATTGTTGATGCCTTTAAACATAACTTTGGTTCCCCTGCATCATTTTAAAACTCAGCTGGCTGACATGCTGTTTGATATTCATGGTACCTGTCACTGTAAATAGAGTTAATAACTGTACCCTGCACATTATGTTGGATGTCATCCTTATTGTTGTTCTGTTGTTTTTATGTTACATGTGTAACTAATGTCCTGCAGGTCACCCTTGAAAAAGAGATCTTTTGATCTCAAACAAACAAACATAACATTTAATTTATCTGATGCTTTTATCCTTAGCAACTTGCAAAGCATAATGTTTACAGTTTCTATTTCAAGTGTGTGCTGTCGTGAAAGTCCACTTAATTCTCAGGTATAAGAGCAGATAAATTAAAGTGCATTTAAATGCATCGGATGAGACAGGTGCAGAAGTCCTTAAAGAGAGAAAGCGGCACAAGTTATGAGTCCTGGGCAGTGATTTACGGACGCTTCACCGGTCATTTATGGGGACAGAGAGAAGTAACGGTTGGCGAGAGTTTTGATCACCATAAAAGATCTCCGTTTTATTCTGTCAGCAGAAAGAATGGCTGCCTGATTGATGCGTCTGATGATGGCGAACTAGGGAGGACAGATATAAGTCGCCGATTCATCATTTTAAACGTGCAATGGATCATTTGTAATCTGTTGAAGGGTTTGAATAATTATACATCAATTTACCACCAGACCTAAGTTGCCAGACTGGCTCATAGCAGCTGTAAATAAATGAATGAATACAGATAAGGTGCCCAGAAAATATGTTGTCCCTCAAACAACTAAAAGATTATGGATTGTGATCTAGAAATAAAACGTGTATTTTTTCCTTAGAAAATGACATATTCAAAGGAATGATTGCTAATTGCTACTGCTAACATGCTAACACTGAAGCTAATATGTTAATGCCTGGCAGATGTCTTTACGAGCGGTACCATCCAGTTATAGCTAAAGTCGAAAGTGAAGCCAAGGAGGTTAAATCCTTAAATGTGCATTTTGTCTAATGGCCAGCAGGGGGCGGCATAAATAAGTCCGATTGTATAGAAGTCTGTGATAAAATGACCCTTCCTCTTCCTTAATTTACTACCTTTGTCAACATTTCCCTGATGAGTTTATGGTCTTGATCTTTAGTCTCAAGTCTTCTTGAATACTTCATGATGTTTATTTAGTAAATTGTGGTGCTATGGACGATAAAGCAGAGAAAGCTTTAGGGAATGTACACAATTTACACTTAAATGTGTCCTCCCAGCAGCTAAGTTTTATGATTCATGTTCATGGCACCATGAATGCAGCATCTGTACAAAGATGTCGTGGTAATCTACAGTATGCAAAGGTTTTCAAGACATATCACTTCAATCTAAACCAGGACTCACTATTTACCACATTTCATAGCAATCGATCTAGTCAGTGGCGGTTCTAGACCAATTGACTGGGGGGGCCACTGGGGGACCAGTTATTTTCTGAGGGGGGCACAATAAATGCAGGACGACAAAGAGAACTAGACAGTATGAAGTAATAAGAAAACAATGCAATACAGTTATTGGTATTTGTTTCAGTACACTTATTTATTTCAGATATATCTTATAGTTATTACTGTTAGCTTCAGCTTAAGTTATAGTGCAATGTTTGCACTAACACCATATTTATATAAAAATAAAGGCAATGAACAGTTACATCTCTACTTTACATCTACAATTACACAGATACAATAGTTTAACTCACCTTCAATTATCGTGGTAGTCTCTCGAAACGTAGGTTTCAGTCTTTCTTGGATGCAACAGCCTCTGATGATCCGAGATGAAAAGTGTTTGTTTGTCGCGCGCTTTAGCCGGACAGTGAAAGTGAGTGCACCGCTCTAATGGGTGCTGAGTGCACCGCTCTAATGGGTCCGACTAGAATGACGAATAACGTTAGTTCCGCCTATTCCGTCATTCAATAAATCGTGTAATAAATCATACATTTTTCATTTTTTTCACTTTTCATTTTTAGGGGGGCCACAGGGGGGTCAGAGGTTAGTGTTAGGGGGCACTGGCCCCCCCTAGAACCGCCCCTGGATGTAGTAGTGTTAATGATTGTGATATTTCAGTCTGTAAACAGGGCTAACAGGGCTACTAATAACGTGGACATTGTATGTGTAGGGAATGACTGAAATGGCATAAAACAAATTCATTTAAAGTCTTTAAACAATCCTTAAAATACAATAAAGAAAACGGAAATGATGTACAATGAATGCTTTATTGAAGTCATTGTAAAATATGTCCAGTTCTCAATGCTTATTTTACAAAGGACAGGGAAATGAATTTCTGAAATGAACGGAGTAGATCTCAACAATGGTCCTTTCAGTCTTTGAGAGGGTCTGAATGAGTCTCAAATTGTCCACCAGCCCGAGAATAAGAAATAAGAAAAGGAGCAGTTTTTATTCAGTTGTGAAATATTTCAGACAGCTGTAAGATTGCTCTCTTTTTTTGGAAAGAGTTTTAAGGATTATTGCTTTAATTAAGTGTTTCTAAATTGGATTTGACAGCTCTGCTTGATTAAGGCCCAATCCCAAACCGCCCCCTACACCCTACCCCTACACACTACCCCTCCGTTTGTGCGTTCGCGCGGAGGGTCCACCACATTAAGTGCTGTTCCACACCAACGAGTGTGGAACGGTGTGGAGGGGGAGTGGGCTTTCAAGCCATCAAACAGCGAGTCTGCATCGGTGCTGACTGGAGACCGGTCTCTAGCTGACCGGACTCAATGCTGTGTGTGTCCGTCAGGAAACAAGCTGTTTACAAGTAATTCCAGCAAACATCCGCTGATGAGTTCACTCCGTCACGGAGGGGGAGTGTGTAGGGGTAGGGTGTAGGGCGTGGTTTGGGATTGGGCCTTAGGATACAAGCAATATTTGAGGTTTAAAGGTAAAACTAAAGATAAAAGAGTTTAATTATTCTGTGTTTATTTTCTTGTGATTACGTGGCAGATTGATGACTTTCTAAGGATTCACAGAAACCTGGTGGGAATGGGGGTTTAATCCCGAGGATTACTGAACAATAGCTGCTTCTCAAAGACAAAAGCCAGACTTGGGCAGAATTCCCAGAGCGTCCTGTGATCGCAGATTATTTAATAAATATCTGCAAACAATAACCACTCGTCCAAAAAAACACAAGCACAGAAATAGATTT